CGATAACGGCCCACAGTACTCATCCGAAGAGTACAAACAGTTCACTAACGACTACAACTTCATCCATAACACTATCAGCCCGAGATACCCCCAGTCTGGTGGTCTACATGAAAAGACAGTCCAAACAGTCAAGAACCTTCTTGAAAAATGCAAAGTCGCCAATCAAGACCCATATCTCGTGTTGTTAGATTACCGCAACACCCCTATAGATGGCGTCACCCCAGCACAAGCCCTAATGAGCAGACGACTCCGCTCACCCCTTCCCATATCCCAAAGAAAGCTTAATCCAAAACCTGTCAACAGAACCACTTTCCACGCAGCACGTCAACAACAGCAACAACAACAGAGAAAACACTATGACCGCACTGCTAAGTCTCTGCCACCATTAGAAAAAGGTGATGCAGTGAGATTTAAGAAAGATCCTCAAGCAGCATGGACCCGTGGGACGGTGAAACGAAAGCACGAAGCACCACGAAGCTACGTAATAAAGGGTGAGAACGGGACGGAATATCGACGGAATCGCAGACATCTACGAAAGACTAGAGAACATCAAGCTGACCTAGACACACCGGATATTGACGATCCCCAAGACCCGATCCCACAACCAACAACCAATGCAGAAAGAAACAACATCCAAATCCCAATAGCGCCAAACCCACCTCAACTGAAGACAAGCCGTTATGGCAGACGGATAAACCAGAATCCGAACTACAAGACGTGAACATATGGAGCATGATTGCCATATTGTTTGAATATCTTTACTTAAATATTGAATCGAACACGTAATCCAAACATAGACTTGATTTCTTAAATAATTCATCTTACGTTATATATAATTTGGTAATAATTACTTTTAATTTAGAAAAAGGGGGATGTAATATATGCTCATATATAGTAGCTATATACATACATCAATTAGGTTGATTGACAGTTCACATCATAATCACTAGCACATGTAATTGTAATAGGAACCTCAAGGACACTCGCTAGAACACCTAGACATAATCAGACGTGTATCTTTTACTCATGAATAAATCTTCTATAAGGACATAGAAGCATTACAGCGTGATTGCACGATTTAACTGTAAGCTCTTAGCCAATCAAATTGCTTTTACCAACTACAATGTATAATAAAACTCATTATCTGTAATAAGTATCTCATTATCTCATTATCTGTATCTCATTATCTGTATACTCATTATCTGTATAAGTATCTCATTATTCTCTATTTATCTCATTATCTGTATTTAACTCATTTCTGTTGGTCAACTTTTATTCATAATCTGGTCCTTTCACCGTCACGTGTGTATTGTATTTCTACCAAATCCACCAATAGCAATTTCCAGTTTCCCTATTGTTCGAGTCACAGATAGGCGACTTTCCTAAATCGTTGCTATTGGTTGGTTGGGCAAAAATACAATACACACGTGACGGTGAAGGACCAGATTGATGAATAAACGTTGACCAACATAGATAATGAGTTATATTGTTATTCTAATGAGTTTCACAGCCATCTTCCCTTCGATAGGCTATGGAAGCATTCAAGTGTAAATCTTCTCCAAAATCATTTATAATAAAAGACTAATCATTTGCCTTAACCCGATTAATGCAGTTTAGCTGAAAAAATCAGTATGGTTTTATATAGACGAGGTCTGATATTTTAACAGCACAGAATCACAAAATATGAGCAGATCATCAAAACTCTAATCTTGAACCTTAAACTCTAAGCGCAAAAAGCACAATGCGGGGAACGCTCTGCATCATAAATCTTGGCTCTATATATGCACTCGCGGCATAATATAAAACACCATGTGTTCCCATTGCTCTTTTCGCACTTAGAGTTTAAAGTTTAAGGTTTAGACTTTCGAAAGACAACCATTTTTGAATTGGCTATATAGGCTATATATAAAAGAGGATGAGTATGCGGTCACGGCTACGCGTCGGTCAAGCATTCTACACCATCATATTCTTCGGTAGCCCTCTTTGTCATCACTGCGCATTTATTTTGTTTATCTGAGGTTGAAATAACCGCCATAACAACCGCTATAACTGCTATGAGCTCTTATCCTCGTTTGATCTGAAGAAACGACGGTGCATGCTCATGTCATAATATCAAATTCACAATACAATATAGCTAGCTTTTTCTTGAAGGATATGTTACAAGAAGCAGATAATTATTTGCTAGCTGAGACTGACCTGTAGCGCATTTAGGATCGCTGTTCATTTCGTGGAATATGCGTGTATAACCCACGTTTGACTTTGCTGGGGGTTTTTTCTTACTTTGCGTACCCAAAAGGCACTGATAAAATAAAGATTTTGGAGATGTGTGACGCATATCATGCCATTTCTCTACTAATTTGCCAATGGGTAATGTCCAACGCCGGAAGACTCAGTATTCATCAAAGAATGTTACTAGCGGACAGCAAAGGGTTATTGGCTTATATACTGTCACATTAGAAATTAATTACTAATCGATACTTACGAATTAAAGAATTAAATGTACTGATTCTGTTTTCGTCTTCTGATTCTGTTTACACGTAAGCGAACGATGGAGACAATTGGCCGTGCCGCTTGAACGCATGCATATATTATTTTTTACAAGTTGATGAAACAAAGATTATTCAGTTGTATAAAGCTTAGATCTGAAGAGGATGAAAGTGCATGCATGGGAGTTGACAGGCACTATCAAACCTTTATTTTGTTATCTAGAGCTTGAAATCAGTATCCCCTGTGACAATTGGTGACTTGTACTTTCATCAACCCTCATTAATCTCGTTTGAAACGGGGCTTATAGCAGTATTAGAATGTTAGTGTTTGTAATCCAAGTGATTATATACATTTTAAGACCTGCCCAGGAACGACTGCGAAAAATGCAGCACAAGGTCCTCTGGTAGGAATTGAACCTACGGCCCTGCGATTCCGGTGCAGCGCTCTAACCAACTGAGCTACTTCCACCAAGTGAAGTGCAAGAAACCACATCATTCAAGTCCACCTTATCACAACCCGCACACCCGATTACCTATATATATACATGAACTTACGGTTACAGCTCAACAGCTGGCCTCTGTAGCTCAGTTGGTTAGAGCGCTGCACCGGAATCGCAGGGCCGTAGGTTCAATTCCTACCAGAGGACCTTGTGCTGCATTTTTCGCAGTCGTTCCTGGTCAGGTCTTAAAATGTATATAATCACTTGGATTACAAATCCTAACATTCTAATTCTAATATTAATTCCACCAAGTGAAGTGCAAGAAACCACGTCATTCAAATCCACCTTATAGCAGTACTCCGCACAACCTCGCAAGCCAGGGTCTTTTACTTCCGCACGGCGTAGCCCGAGCGCAGGTAAAAGACCCTGGCTTGCGAGGTTGGTTTTCGCACTACTTGGAGTTGAGACATCACGGCTCCAAGCTTTTTTATTCAAGCTAAGCCCTATATACACCACAATGTGCTCTTCCCAAATTCTCTTCCTTTGCGTGCATGGATTCAGGCTAATATTAAACTCGTGGTGCTCGCGACGCGTCATGGTAGCCATTTGTACAAAACAGCAAAAAATAAATAAAACAGTTTAATTAACACTTTGAACTAAAGAACGACCAATATATAAAGTAGGTGTGTTATTTTGCATTCTATGAGCTTTATTATAATGTAAAATTCAACACGAAACGCTTCGTAAAATGTTTTTAACTGATGTTCACTGAAATTACAATCGAACCCCTATTAAGCGGACACCTTCGGGACCTCGCGTAAGTGTCTGCCTAAAAGGGGTGTCCGCAAAGGGGTATGTAGAAAAACACAGCAGGAGGCAAAGGTGCGTAATTAGGTGTGTAATTTGAGTATCATCATGGCTGGCGGTTCACAGCCTTCCGGCCTCGTTCGTCACTTCCTCAATAATCTTGGCTCTGATGTCTTCGCGCCAAGTTGGTGTGTCAATGTGCCATGTAAATTGATCGCAATTGTTATTTACTGTCGAATATTGAATACATTTTATCAGACAATGTGTCATTTGTCCGCTTAAGAGAGGTTGATTTGCCCATTGGGACCTCCAGAAAGGTGTCCGCGTCCGTTAAAGATGGGTGTCCGCTTAATAGGAGTTATGATAATAGTATTTTATTAAAGAGACCGAATGGGACCTGAGATATGTGTCCGCTTAAAAGAGGTGTCCGCTTAAGAGAGGTGTCCGCTTATAGGGGTTCGACTGTAACTGCTTTTATTAAAATAAGATGGAATGACCCCCAACAAAATTTGGCTTCGCATGAGATATAAACTATCAAACTTTGCTCCTATGGTATTTTCTCTCTGATTGTATTCCTTAAAATAAAGGTTATAATTTGGGGCTTTTTTAAATTGTGTGGTTTGTTGCCATAGAAACCAATTTGTTTACCCTTTGTTTTTGCCAATACTGAACTTTGCCAACAATGTAGGACTGGGTTCTAATTTAAGCGCAAAAAAGGCGGTTTGTTGGAAATCGTTATACAAAACGTTAACCTTCGGAGCAATGTTGATGAACGCTGCTAGAAAAACTACCTGCACGGCGTGAAATGCTAGCGTACTATACAAGACCTGAAAATATGAATTTTGCCGTCGGCATCAGAGCTTGAAGGACGTCTACAACCCCTACTAAACTTTTCATTATTCATTTCCTTTGTGCTATAGGATTGATGTCATATATATTGTATTGATAGCCGTCGTCCTGACGTCGCCGTCTTAAGGTCCATATACACTGGACGCGATTCGACAACGCGACGCGATTTTTCGTGTCGCGTTGTCGAATCGCGTCCGATGTGTCTGGACCTTTACATTCTACGACGCGGCCGGCCGACGACGCGGTCTAAGTTTCAGCTCAAGAATGAGCGCTAAGCAATTTGATTACTATAATAAATATTTGAAGCTTCTTCAAATAGCCTTACAAACTGCTGCATTCGGCTAAAGCGATGCAATGTTTGCTGTAATTTCGACTTTAAGTAACACCTCTTGGGTCGCATTATAAAACTTTCACCAGGGGCGTAAATGTGGGGGTGGGGGGGGATCACCCTCTCCCCCCAGAGAAATGATCCAGTCGGTCTCATAATACGTGCAGTCGGTCTCAAAATTATGCGTTTGTTTACATGCATGCAGTGCCTTGCGAAGCAAATTAAATATTTTCGAGACTCAGACTATTGAGTCTATTTGCAAAATCTCAAGACTCCAAAATGCAATGAATCTGGATCAAAATAGCTAACATTAGTTACAATATTTCTCCGGTCCCTTAACTATATTTTTAAGATGGCCGAGTTATATTAGGAAGTATGTTCACATGTAACACGATATGCATATGCATTTTGTTACCAAAGAGTTTTATGTGCCTACTTGTGCCTACTGCAATCAAGAAATTCGATCAGTGAACGACGCACTGGTTTATCTGAAATCCCGGAGCGACTAGGCGATGTTTCCAATTGTTGCTTACAGTCAGCCCGTAACTAAGTATGTGAGTCAATCGAGTAATTCAAGTTCAATGACAGACTGTAGTTCTCTCTATGTAAAGAAGCATTATTCTTGCCCTACAGTGGCGTAAGAAGTGGAAGGCTGTGTCAATAACAAA